GGCGGGAGCGGCCGAGGGGTTGGAAACGACCTCTGAGATCGTCAAATCCAATTTATGACCGAACACCAGCCTGCCGACTAGACCTTGGCACTAAGTGCCACGTCCTGTCTTTCCTTAAACAGCTCCGGGGTGCGCAGACCATTCCAATGTCTGACCACCTTTTCTGTGAAGAAATTCCTTCTGATGTCGAAAGTGAAGCTTCCCCGGCAGAGTTCGAGATGATGCCCTCTCGTCCTGTCACTGGTTTCCTAGGAGAAACTCCTAGGTTCTTCCTAGGAAATGAGGCCGCCCCTGCCACCTGGCTACACCCTATTTTCAGGTAGTTTTACAGAGCGATAAAGTCACCCCTGGGTCTCATTTTTTTCTGAGCTAAACACCCCCGGTTCCCTCAGCTGCTTCTCACAGGACTTGTGCTCCAGCCTCTTCCCCAGCTCCCTTGCTTTTCTCTGGACATGCTCCAGCACCTCAATGTCTTGTAGTGAGAAGCCCAGAAATGGATGAAGGATTTGAGGTGCAGCCTTACCAATGCTGACTGCAGGGTGAGTCACTTTTGTGGTCCTGCTGACCAAGCTATTTCTGATTCAGGCCAGGATGCCATTGGCCTTCTTGGCCACCTGGGCACACACTGGCTCATGTTCAGTTGCTGTCAGCCAGCACTCCCAGCTCCTTTTCTGCCTGGAAGCTTTCCAGGCACTGTACCCTAAGCCTGGGCCACTGGGGTTGCTGTGACCCAAGTGCAGGACCCAGTACTCGGTCTCACTGAACCTCTTAAAATTGGCCTCAGCCCATCGATCCGGCCTGTCCAGATCCCTCTGCAGAGCCTTCGTATTATCCAGCAGATCAACTCTCCCACAAAACTTGCTGTCAACTGCAAACTTGCTGAGGGTCAACTTGATCCCCTTGTCGAGGTCATTGATAAAGATGTTAAACAGAAGTGGACGCAGTACTGATCCCCGAGTAGCGCCACTAGTGACCAGCTGCCAGCTGGATTGGTTCCATCCACCACCACTCTCTGGGCCTGACATCAAGCCAGTATTTCATCCAGCATACAGTACACTCACCCAAATCATCAGCAGCCAGCTTCTCCAGGAGAATGCTGTGGGAGACAGTGTCAAAGGCTTTACTAGAGACCAGGTAGGCAACATCCACTGCCTTTCTTTCCCTCATCCACTACTTGCGTCACCTTGTCATAAAAGGACATCAGTCATAAAGGATGCTTTAGTGTAGACTATTTTGATTTTTCAGAAAATATTAACTGTTGTTGCAACTGGTTGCAACATTTCAGCCACCCTAACATCCCAAATTAAGTATTCTAGAAGCATTTTAAGAAGTTTAAGATGTTTCACTATATAGGAAGAGGTGACAGAACAGTGATCAGATAGTTATAGTTTTAATAGTTTTAGGCTCAGAATAAATAAATAAATTAATCATAAATAAATAAATAATGTATCAATAGAGAATATATTAAATCAATATTATGATTTATTTGAATAAATGAATACATTTATATGAATAAATAAATCAATAAAAATATGCCTAACAAATTTGAAAGCATCGTTCAGCTACAGGACATTTTGTGTTTTGTGTGTACATACATACATACATACATACATACATACATACATATATATTAAACCTTGGCCACAGAACAGTAAATATTGTTAATTTTAAAGAAAGCACCTCAAGAACCTGGTGGGGCTAAATTCCACAATCCAAGCGATTGACACGGTGGTTTTCACTGCAGCGCCGGGGCACCACCAAGTGGCAGCATCGTGAGGAGCCGAGCTCTCGTCGGAAAAACATTTCTGTCTTAAGAAAGAACAAAGGGAGCAGATCCGCACCTGGAAATAGCCAATTTTAGTTTGATTTGGCTGATAAAGTAAGTTAATCTGAAAGGAATAAATATATTTTTATTCTGAACCAATGAGATAGAGCCATAAATAGGCATACTGTTGTAGCAAATTGAAATATTTTGAAGAAAGATTGTGTGACTCATTAAAACACAGTTGGGAACAAATATACTACTCTGACTGTACTCATCAAATAAAGCAAATGCTTTCTTTGGAACTAATTTTGACACATATTAGCCTAGTATTAATCTTCAACTGTATTAATAGATCTGATCAAAGTTACCCCAAGGGCTCTTCCAGCAGTGCTAATATAAAGCATCATCTTTCTCATGCCATTCTCCCAAAGATCACATCATAAGATTACGCATTACACATGACACATTAAAAAAGAGAAAATAATGGCAAAACCAAAAAGAATGGAGACAAAGCTTAAACTTTTTTTTTAAAATGACAGCTCTGTTGACTGTGCAAACATTCCTTGTTTTACCACAGCAGCCATTAGACATACCTTACACAATACCTTTCCACCATATTTAAAACTCCATACCTGCTGGTTGTCATGGCATGAAGAAAACCTAACTATTGCTTTGCAGTCTCAAAATACCTGTTTCAAAAGGTTTTTATAATTATCTTGAATGATATTGAAGCCATGTCTCTTGCAGCTATAGAGATTCTTTGGACTAGAAGTCGGATGGATACGGCAGAAACAGATAAAGCCTCTGATCAGTTAAATAAGCAGAATCCCAACAAAACACATTCAAGGTTGTTGTGACAGGAAACTGAAAAAATCTTGAACAATAAGCAATTTTGCTGTCTTATATGGATCATATAAGACATATCTGAGCCATATCACATATCTGAGACATATCACATATCTGAGTTGCTTTAAGGTGAACTCAGTACATAATTCCATGAAAATACTAAATTATATACTCATTATTTTTCTGGAAGGAGGGAGCAACAACAACAAAAACATCCCTGATCCAAGAATCACCATCCTTGGTAATGTTAACAAGTAGTTGGAAAAGGGATGAGTTTTCACTGAGAAATTTCTCATCTAGGTCATGCCTGGGTGCCTTGAGCCAAGACTCAGCCCAGGCTGAGGAATGGGCTTAGAGTTAAATGTTGCATTAGGAGAATGAAGGTCATCATGCCTAGAGATGCACTTGGTGTGGAGCTACCAAGAACTGCCATAAAGAGGTAGGACATGAAAAGAATTCTTTCATCAGGCCATGGCTGGGTATGTTGGAGAAGGCTCAGCTGATGTCTGGGATTAGGGTTAATGTTAACATTACATACCTGGTTGGGAGAGAGATAAAACCTGGGGCTATAGTTGGTGTGGGGCAGAAAGGGAGCAGCCAGAGTAAGGCTGCAAAGATACCTTTTCCCTGAAATCTTCTTAATCTGGGTGCTGGTTCAGGATCTGTAACTAAGGTTCAACCCATCCTTTGCATTCATACTAAGTCAGACTTTTAACAAGGCAAAGCCTAGAACTCCATTTTGATAAAACAATTTGCTGTAGGAATTCTCTCAGGATAACTTGTTCATCACGGCTATGGCTTGGGGTCTTTGGCTGGTCTCTGCAGATATCAGGTGTTGGAGTTGTGTTTACAGTTAGGCTTAGGGACAGTAAGCAGGCCAAGTTTGAATCCCCATTTGGAGTGGGGCAGGAAAGAATTATTCTGAGAAGTTTCTCATCTGGTTGATGGTTAGGGGCTTTGGGCTGTCTCAGTTTGAATCTATGATTAGGGATCTGCTAATGTTCAGCTTTGGGAAAAGAGAGAAAGCCTAGCAGTTCATTTGGTCAGGGATTGAAAAAGGATTGCAAAAGGAAGTGACGGGGGCAAAAATAATTGTTCCCCAAGGACACATTCACCTGGGCTATGGCTTGAGAATCTTGAGCTAGACCTCCCTTGACACCTAGGTTTGGGATAAGAGTTGGAAGAGACACAAAGAGTAGAAGCTCCAGTTTACTCCATTTAAGCCTGGAAAAAGACCTCCAAAGGAAAGAGTAGAATATCAGAAGAATTCTCTCCTGAAGTCCTGTGCTGTTGTCTTGGTGTAGAGACAAGTTTAGGAGAAAAACACTCTGGAATGAGTGTTTCCTCTAAAAAACAGGAGTTCCAACAATCATTGTCTGCCAATAAGAAATGAAACTAGTGGATGAAAGTGAAAAAAAACCCCAGCCATTTATTGATAATCAGAGTGCCCATATGGAGCAGTAAAAAAGTAAATAAATGCTAGATATTGCATTGTCAGAACTTAGAACATTGTCCCCTCCATCCCCATGCACATGCACACACTGGAACAAAAATCCAAAATGCCAGGGAAAGAAAAAAACAACAGCAGTTTGCCACTTGGTGGGGGCAAAATGGCATGAGTTTTCAGGGGAATAAAAACCAACCAGAAAAACTCCCAGTAGTTTCAAAGAGAAGTTTGGGCAAACAGATGTGAAACCTGGTGAGTCTCTGACATCGGTCCCCTCTTCACAGCAGATGAGGCAATTGAGCTTTCTCTTGCTGACCCAGCTTTTTCCAAGACATGGGGCCAAAATGGAGAGGCCCTTTGTCTTTCCTGCCAGTTTCTTGGATCTCAGACCAACAACAAACCACTCTCAGTTGACTTTGAAGAGCTGCTGAAGAACTGCTGCTGCAGCCTCTCCAAGGTCAGGGAAAGAAACAAAAAAACCCTTCTGCCTTGGCTAACAAAAAAACCTCATGCTAGCCAAGCAAAAACCCAGACCACATGCCACGAGGTGAGGCTTTGGAAAAGCCCACCGAAGAGCTCCAAGGCTCCCTTCTCCTCCCAGACCTTAAAGGTACAGCAACCATTTTTAGGCATGAAGAAAGCTGTAAAGGAATAGACTAATCATCAGAAAATCACCCCAAGACAACTATGCTTAAATTTACATGAGGAAATGTTTATCTGAATCATAGCTAGGAATTCAAGGACTCATCCAACACAGTGTCTGGGGTAGTTGGGGAGAAGTCCACATGAACACATAAATTTGGGACTGGGAGAGAGACAAAGCACAGAGCTTAGTTAGGAGAGAAGCTTGAAGAAGGTTGCTGAAGGAAGGTGCGTGTTGCAAAAAGTTATTGTCCCCTGAGAGTTTGTTTACCTGGGACATGGCTGGTGGACCTGGGCTAGCACTCAGTTGTCTTCTTGGAGTGGTCAAAACAAGACTTTGAGCAGTTACAGTTTTTCTGATGCAGTGCTTCTGGAAGGATTTCTTTCCTAAGGGAAAAGGAAGAGTTCAGTTATACGAGTGAACCCATGTTCTGCTCTGACCTTCAAAGTTCACCTAATTTTATATTTCTTTTTTTTTTCTGTTGGCATGATCAGCTTTTTGAGCTGAGACAGAATCCTAAATCAAAATTCACTATTAAGGAGTAATGTGTATTTCAAAGTCTTTCTCAATTTTGCAATATTTTCCATATTAGTTCACATTCTTGTGCATAACCATGTAATTCAAATACATTCTGATAAAAATACTAAACTTTATTCTCTGTATGATGCATAAGTCTGTTCTCATTAAACCTTTGACATAAGTAGTGTTTAGTCATCAAAGCTAATTTGTTGTTATGACTGATAGAGCTCAATGCCTAGGGAGGTGAAGAACACTTTGGCAGACTATTCACGTTCAAATTTCTATCAGCCCTGAACACAGAGAAAAATAAATATTCAAAGATTTTCTACCCATCTGAGAAAAAACTCCTTGATTAATGGAAAGCAAACACTAAATTATAGGCCTATTAGCTCATATCTTTGGTTGTGTGAAATTGTATTATGTGTACATTAAATGTCTCCAGTAATATGTGTGTTTGGAGAGTTTGCACAGCTTTTTTTTTTTCATAGGCAGAACAGTTTTCCTAATACACCATTTTAATCAAGAAGTGGTTGCTGTTCATAGAAGTGGCACTAAGTTAACTTTAAGCCTTGTGGTTAATTTATTAGCAATACAATTACAGAATCCAGGCATGCAGGCTCATTTACACATTTAACCTGTAGCACTGCAGTCTGTATTGCTCACTGTCCTGTGCTGTCAGTACCTGACCTAGCAAAGGTCAGAAAACTGCAGGGATGTCAATGTAGACCTATTCAAGTTATTTTGGTTGTTCATGTATGTCCCATGATAAATAATTTTGTTACAGGCTTGGACTGTTTTCTGTAATTCTGTCCCAGAGGTAGGTGAAAATATTCCAAAATACCAATCAGCTCAGGGAAATGACAAAGGAAAATCACAAAGAAAAATGTCTCTCTTTCAGTGACCTTTCCATGCAGCACACTTTAGGCACTTAAAGGAAGCCTAATCTCATCCTGTTCTCCCTGATGGCTCATGTAGCAGGGTGCTGGGAAGCTTGGGCACCCTTGGCTGTGATGTCTACCACAGAAAAGATCTGTTCTTGGCAGCTATAATCTTGGAAACCCAGAAAACCAAACAGCTTTCCTGAGGTAGAATATCATGTGTTTTCCATCCATTCCTTTAGTCAATAAAAAGCTATATAGTCCCATGGGGGGAGGAAAAAAACCCACCAGTCAATCATGAAACTATGAATAATACATAGAACATATGTGAATTCAGTCTGAAACATCAATCCTAGAGATGGTATTTCCTAATTTTTGGGTACTTGGTTTAGCATTCTTAATTGTTCTTAATTGAAAAATTTACATACAAATTAGAATTTTTAGAAAATAAAATAGAAAAAAAGTTTTCCTGGTTTTAAATCTACTTCAGAGGAACATTATTCCCATACAGAGTAAAAACTTCAGCCTCATTTGAAACAAATTGAAACCCGACTCTCTGAAAGACTGCAGTGTCTATAGTGTATGTGTCTATGGTGCTCGATAAAACAATGCCAGGGATTGTTTCAGTTCCTGGCCATGGGGTGGCACACTCTGGCTCACACACACACTGCTTTAACTGATGAACTGTGGCCATACTGAATAGGTTGTGCCTCTGGGTTTCATTCGGGTACCATGTGATGTTCCTATGACCCTGAGAGATAACTGCTATTTTTTGGTAGGTTTTTTTCCTTAGGTCAAGCTGTCAGACACAATGTCAGAGCTGTGTTGCATCTTGCCAGAGAGAAGTTTTTATAGAATGTGATTGAGGGTTGCATGCTTTGCTGTGTACTGTAAGGATCTGTGAAGATGTTTCAACACATGGAGGTTTGTAGGTCTGAGAAAGCCAAACTACATCAACAGTGCTTAATGTAAAATATCCTGGGTATGCTGCCTGAGTTTTGGTTGGTAAGTTAGCTGGTGTGGTCCAAACCAAGCTCAGGATGCAAATTTCCTCCTTGACATTGGCCAAGCTCAGCCTGAAAGTCTAAAGTAGAGCATGAAATACCACTTGGATTTCTATGGAATGTGTGCATTAGCTGCCAGACCAGTGCTTTTTGGTAGTCATGTAGTTGTTACTCATTCTGTGTATTGTTTTGATCTAACCCAGAGCACTACTATGCAAAACACTCACATTTAGAAATACAGAGTAAATTAAATTGGAGTGGCCCATGTATTCCCATTGCATGCAAGAAGTAGGGCTAATTCTGAAGTTCAGAATTAATTCTGAAGTTTGATCAGGGTGCTCAAGCTTGCCCAATCAGGTTTTGAAATACTCCAAAAATGGAGATTCTTCAGGTTCTCTAGTTTCACGTGCCAGTAATTGGCCACACTTTTGTGAAAAGTATTAGCTTCATCTCCATCTGGAATGTCCTGTGATGTGGCTTGCAGCCTCTTGTGGTTTTGCTGTGCCCTGAGAAGAGCCTATGGCTGTTTTCTCTACAACTCTTCTTTAGTTAGCTGAAGATAGTAATTAATTTTCTCTTAGCCTTTTTTTTTCCAGGCTAACCAAAACTGAATCTTCTTCTAAGGCATATGCTCCAGTCCTGTAAGTATGGAAAAATATTGAGAAAAAATTGACTTTTACACTGAGAAAATGTATTTTAGAGCCTGAAATCAGTATATAAACAAACAAACAAAAAAGCAAATTAAAAGAAAGCTTGGAACTAAACAGATACTTGGGGTTGAAAAACTAAACCTAGACAAAAGCAAGAATTCCTTTCTGAAAAGTCAAAACCAATTCTGGTCAAAGAAAATGCGAAGCATGCTTCCCCCCCACCCATTTCTTTTAGAATGATGTCTTTTGCTTAGTCTTTTTCTTGTTTTAGCTATTTTTAAAAGGAGAGAATATTCTTTTGGAACAAAAATCTTTAGTTTCAAGCTTTTGGCATGTCTGAACACAAATATTATATTGCAAAGTTGAACTGTTTCAGTCTATATGAAATTTCCATCCTGTCCTCCAACTAAAACTTCTAGTCATCATTTTGACTCAAATTTATAAACACTTCCCTTTAGTTCCATTTTACCATATTCAATATTAATACATTTTTTTCTGTGTTAAGCTTTAAGAAACATTTTATAGCTTCCAAAAGGTGAACAAGCATGTTTCATTTAAAAAAAAATGAAGACCTAAAAAGGCACAGGTGTTGAATTCCACATATTTTTCAAGGCATTTGCATGATCATGACCCAGTGGGATCACTGGCAATCACTGATGACTCCACACTGAATTTCTGAGCAGCATCCCGACTTTCTGCCTGCAGCTGTGCTGTCTCTGTGCCATCAGAACATCTTACCAGACTATGGCCTTTGACCTTAAGAAAATTCTGCATGTCCCCTTTCCTTCATTTTTTCCATTCTATTTGTAGAGTCCATATAAAGTAAAAAAAAAAAAAAAAAAAAAAAAAAAAAAAAAAAAAAAAAAAAAAAGCAGTCCTCTAACATAATAATTTCTATGATAATTAGGTTTATTATGTGTTATTTGTGCAGACTATTCAACAATTGCTTCTCCTTTTTTACTGTGTGTAAAATAGTCATTCTGTTTCCTGTATTAAAATCATACTCTCAAATCCTCTCATGAAGTGTAGGATATTCTTTCAGGAATTCCACTCAAAAACAGTAAGAAAATATTCTCAGTACATCAGCAGCCTGTGTGCATTAGGGAAGAAATAACATTTCTTTGCAAGACAATGGTCTCCTATTAAAATCCAAGGTGATACAGTTACACAGGTGCCAAAGTGCCTCCTACAGTTACATTCAATTCCTAATTTTTCTTATTTCTAATTTTTTTAATGACCATTTTTCTCAAAGTTTTCTCTGATAAATCCTGAAATACTGCACTTCTTGCTGTATCATTTGAACAATAAAGGAGAGAGGAGATTTTTTAAAAGGCCAATAAATAGTTCATTTATTCTACAGGTTTCATTCCAGAGTTATGCCTGCACTCTTGCCCTTTTCTAATTCCATAGTTCCTGTTATTCATTCCTGGCTACTTCTTGTTATAAAATATATAATGCTATATATAATGTATAACATAACAGAATAAAACCTAGTAAAACATAACATAACATAACATAACATAACATAACATAACATAACATAACATAACATAACATAACATAACATAACATAATTTAGAAGTTTGCTATCTTTACTAGAGTTACTCCATGTGCATGTTACATCTAGTTTTTATCCTACTGTGTTATCATAAATTGTCAGACTTGCTACAAAGGTTGCCTTAAGCTGGTGAAGAATTGCTGAGGTTGGTTGGGAAAAACATGAGCTGAGCCTTATCCAATGTAATCCTGCCATCCTGATCAGTACTGCAGCTGTGGGGCTTGGAACATCAGGAAAACAGGAGCTGAAACCTGAGTAACTGATTCCCAAGACACACACACTTCAAAAAATCGAAGGTAACATTATTAAAGTTTGTCTTATTTTTTTTATGCTTTTAGTCAGTATTATTTATTGTCTTTAGATAAAATTCACATCTTGAACATTAGGTGTTGCTGAAAACCCCTTGCCAGCACAGAAGTTAAAAAGGAACGAAAAATGGGCTACGATTTAACTACTTAAATGAATTTTGCATCATCTAAGTTCTTCAACTGCTTATTTTTTGTCTTTTTCATTGAGTTCCTGTGAGAATCCAAATAATATGTGTAGTGTACAAACAGAAAAAAAGGCAGTTTCTGTCCATGAGACTGAACCTTGGTAGACATCTCCTATCCCCTCTACTTGGTTCATGTTTTCCTTGGTCCCAGGAATGACATATAGAAATCTTGAATCCTGTGTACATGCAGTCAGTTCTCTACACAGGCACTTGGTACCCTCTTCCAGAAATATTTTTGTCATGCCCTTTCGTGCCACCCTCCCAACCTGAGCACTTTGGTGACTTTGAAAATTCAGCCTTGTTGTAACAAGTGGGAGGAGTTTAAAATGAAGATGAATTATCCAGAGACCAAGGAATTGAAATGCTGCCTCCTGGAGAGAGAGGCATAAAGACTTGCCAAAACCATGAAATGATACCAAGAAGAAAAATGTCACAAATGATCCCACTGAAC